CGCAGCGGCGACAGCGCTGTGGGCAGAAGAGTCAGTCAGTCGGTGGGTGGCGGCGGCGGTGGGGGCTGAAGCCGGGAGCTCATTCCCTGGCGTGACCCATGAGAGCCCCCCCCCCGGGGAGCCAGAAGGTGGGTGAGGAGCGGCAACCGGCGCGCCCAGCTGCCGCCCGCCCACCTCTTCTCTATTCACGGTGACACATTACTGCAGGTGCAAAGGCGGTGCAGCAGCCCTCCGCTCCGCCTCACTGAGCATGTGCGCAGCAGCAGCAGCCCCCCCCCGCCGGTCGCCCGCTTTGCACATGCCTGATGCCAAATTGAAGCCCCCGTGAAGCTGCTGCCCTCATCCTGCTGTCTTCCTCCGGAGTCTCTCCCTGCGCCAGCAAGCTTCCCTCCAGGAATTAGGGCGTGGAGAAACTGGGCGGGGGGGGGTTGGGGGAGAGGGAATTGGAGGAGGATGCTCGGAAAGATAGAACTACAGGGCCAGGCAGCCAGGGCGGAGACGACGGATACACGGCGGGTTGCGGATCCAGAAGGGGTGACCTCGGAGCCAACGAAATCAGGACGGCCCCAGAAGAAAAGAAGTTACATTTCTGCGGGGCGGGAGATCCACCCTAGATCTTGCGTATTATTGGGCAAGCCCTTAAGAAAATCCCACGGGCTCTACAGCCACGTCATCTCCCACTCTGTTTATCAGTCTGGTTATCATTTAAAATCATGAGCCTAAAGGGGCGCGCGATTTCACGCTGCAGTGGCAAAATAAAGCACAACTGGGATTTCAGTGCAATCTAGACCTTTCTTCTTGTGGTTGTATAAAGCCTTACCACTCCCTACTTGCATCAAAAGATTCAAGCTGGTGACCTATCTAGACGTGAGGACCTTATATGCACCTTTGCTTTAAACCTGTTGGACTGTGGGCTGTAAAGGCAAAGATGCTTTTGTTCTACCGTATGGCTCTTAAAAATTAAGGGAGAAGGTATGAATTATTTTAAGGCTGCAGTAGGAGTACTTATCTTACTTATGAGAGGATAAATAGAAGACAACATTAACTTAATTTTTTAATGGAAGTTAATGTGTTCAAGTTAATTAGTCCAAAATCAAGCAAGTATTCTACCAATCAAACCTAATACAGTACAATATAACCGATCATACAATAGTAAGCTCTTTAAAAAGATGGAAGCAGCTGAAGACCCAGGGCTCAGGAGTTAAATTCCCCACTGTGCCTTGTAGGAGAAAAGCCAGCCTGTGTGGTCTTGGCCAAGCTACATGGTCCCAGAGTGTCCCCAGAAGAAGAGACTGATCAACCATTTATGGGTACTCTAAGTCAATCTTAGGTCCCAAGATGTTTTTGGACTACACCTGCCAGAAATCCTGGCTTCTGCAAGTTTAGTCCAAGAACATTTTGGGGGCCCAAGGTTGAAACCACTGCTCTATATGAAGTATCTGGAAAGGATTGCCATACATCATAATCAACTTAATGACATGTAATTATTAATTGTTTAAAAAGTACTGGGTGATAGGATTTGGCAGTTTCTCATCAAAGCCTAGATGATTTCCACACAATGAAAGAATGCAGACTTACCCAGTTTCTACCAATAGTTTTGTTTATTACAGGAAATTTATACATGGACTTTCCATTAATCACTGACAACATTAATTCATTCATTATTTCCATAAACTTGATACCCTGACTCTTGTAATGCTAACCCATGTTGGTTACTAACTCATAACCATTCAGTGAATTCTGACTCACCAATTAGAAAGAGTTGATTTAATAGAGTAGAATTAGTAAAAATGTGACAAAGGTACAATGGCTGAAATCCTGTTGGTGTAAATTTATGCTGTGTAATCCTGAGGCCCTCAAAGTCTTTTCAAGAGCAGAAGGGATCCCCAGGGAGCCTCAGCCTGAAGGGGGCATGGGGAGTTTTTAATTTAATTAAATTAAAGATTTCCATCACAAAATGATGCCATCATATGGTTTCTGCAGTGCAAATTTACACCAACAGGATTTCAGTCACTATTTCAAATTCCATAATTGCCAATGATGAGAGGACTTTCTTCTTTTTCCAACATCAAAGGCAAGCAGAGACATTAGCACTATGTATCATTCTGCAACAAAAGTACACTGCACTATCTCACACCAACCTGTAATCCCTGGTGAATCCCCATCAGGTAATGTGGCCCTCACAAGGCAGGAGAGTGCCCATCCTAATCACAGATATATGACTGGTGTTAGAGAACTGAGGCAAAGATGGAGCCTAGATTCTGGCTTATAATTATGGGGTTGGTGTTGAAATTTATGATCTAATTCTGCTGAGAACTGGTAGGCTTCCACACACAAGCAGTCAAAAGTTTTACCCACCAGATGTTACAGTATGCACAGTGAGCACAAGAGGGAATCCTGTAGACCATATTGACTGCTGCCATTAGTGTTGTCAACATTCAGGCTGCCCCTTACGCTATAAAATGCAGTGTCCTTCTTCCTGCTGGCAACTTGGGTGCAATACTGTGGAACAATATCAGGCCATTTCCTGGCATCCTGACAGGGTGGCTGGACCTGATTTATAATTTGTATGCCCCTTGGATGCAAACTATCTAGGCAGCAATGCATTTGATTTCAGATCCCCAAGTGGGAAATGCTGCAGTTACTGACTGTGCCAGAAACATTTGAAAATTCAATAATGAACCATGAACAACCAAGCTGAAAACTAAAACGCAATGAAGAGATTATCAAAATGCCTTCCACACAAGTGAATGAATCAGAATAATTTTGTTACTATGATTAGTTGTTGCAAATGGGAAAATATAATTGAATTTCTGCCTAACAATTTTCCCCCTGTGATTTGTAATGAGAGGTTTTAATGGCCAATTACATCTGTAGCCTGATGCACGTTTTATTTCTAATGTACAAAAATACAGTCCTGGATGACAGCTGAAACATTTTGACTATGAACATGTGGGTGTGAGTATACACAAGCATATCATATTATTAGTTTACTCTATAGAATGACGTTCACTGTCCAGCTAGATGCCTTAAAGGAAGAGAAGAGAGTGTACACTTTCTGTGGAGGACTGTAATGCAAGCAGAAACAAACATGAATGCTCCCAACAATGTAGTTGTTTTTTAAATAAAAACTTTATGGTCGCCACTTCTGAAAGGATATTTTCATTCCTTCCAAATGTGGTGTGGTGCAGATTCACAGAGAAATGGTCGCTCTCTATAGATTGTGTCATGTACTCAGCAGTTTGTTTGTTATGTATACACAAATGTGGCATACTTGCATTGGTTGTAGCATGCCTCCCCGTATCTGCAGTCAGAAGATTTATTTGCCAGGAGTTAAGATGGCTGACATGAAAATTATAAGGCAGATCTTATTTTTTGCTTTCACATGTGTGACACTGACTTTCTCTGCACTGCATACAAGCATGTCTTTCTCCCACGCTGTTAGTATACCCAAACAGATCTCCCCCACCCCCAGAGTGAGGATGAGTCCGCAAAGCACAAAAGGCACAGAAACAGGGCGACACACAGGGCATTGTGTTCTCTGAATAATGATCTGCCATTTACAATATACATCACGACACTCTAGCTATTTCTGCAGAAAGATCGCTGTAACACTGTAGACAATTACGGACAGAGACCACATGGCAAACTCATGCATATTTTAGAATGCACTTACTTGTCTCCTATGAAGGATCCTGGGAAGGGAAGATGTAGTCCATGGAAGGGTGAGTTCGGCTCATGAAGCAGATGTGAATCCAGCCGTCCAGCACTAGTTGGAGAACAGCAACTCCAAGCAGTAATGTTTTTGCACTTCCTACAGCAAATACATTCGTATGCTCCGGTTGCACATGGGATTTGAAAGCGAGTCATCTGCTTTATTTCCCGGTACAATAAAACATAGGCTCAAGGCGTCCCTGGCTTTATTCATACAACACAATCAATGCAATCTTTCAGAGGATTAATAAGATTAAAAGCCCCTATTGTTTTGCTAATGGCTGTTTATTTGAAAGGTGGAGCTTTTCTTGTAAACAGAGAGAAACAGTCAAATGCCCCTTTTCCTCAAGATAATAAACATACAAAGAGGTACTAAAGAAACATAATTTCTGAAGCACTGATTGAATCACATTCCTGTTCAAGTAAATCAGAGAGTTTTAATTCTACTCTTGCTTTGAACGTTTTTTTTAATGCACTCCTTTTATTGCATAGCAAAGGAAGTTGCTAAACTACCTCTAAGTCACAGGCAGCATAGGCATTGGGTCTTAATAGGGTCTATGATTTGGTGGATTTGTCTGTAACGAGGCACTATAAGCAAAAACAAACAAACAAGCAAGCATTGAGTGCATAAAGCCTTAATGCTGTTCAAACAACATCCCTGTGGACATCTGTCATCTCTAGGCACAGTGTACAGTGGTGCCTCAACTTACGAATGCCCCGGCTTACAACCATTTCAAGTTATGACCAGCTCCGGCCGCAATATTTTGCTTCAACATGTGCCCGAAGTTTCCAGTTACAAACAGAAAAAGGCAAGGAAAAAAGGAAAATTTGAAAAAAAATCAAATTGCTAACTGTTGGTAGGCAAAGAGGCTGCTTCTTTGTAGCTCTTTCGCCCCAGTAGTTAGAGTGAGTGTGGAGGAGACTTTGGACTGCCTGGTAAGGTAAGGTGCTGCTTTCTGCTTTTAAAAACTGTTCTGTGTGGGTTTTTCAGAGTGGTTTTGGGCTGGGGAGGGGTTATGTTTCTGTGCTGTGATGGATCTTGGGGGGGGTGTTTTGTTTTTTTCCCTATTTCTGATGGGTCTTGGGGGGTTGCTTGCTTTTTGGGGGTTCCCCCATGTCTGATGGGTCTCGGGGGTTTTGGGTTTTTTAGTTCCCCCATTTCTGA